TATCATTTTTTTTTGAAAATAGGGTAAAATCGAATTATCATTTTTTTGAAAATCATTTATGCGTACAGCCCAAACTCTGAAACAGAATTCAAGATTTTGGAGATCCTTTTTGGAGTTTTCGGAAAAAATAGTCAACACACGTCTCTTAGAGCAACCCTCGCTTGTTATATTGTTGATCCATGTAAAAAATTCGATTTAGATGAGTTGACATATTGTTCATTGTTTTATAATTGTTTTAAAAATACTATTACCAGTTTTTATTTAATAAAAGGCGTCACTGCCATTGCTGTCACTTAAAAACGGTTTCAAAGCACCAAATTTTTCTTATGATACGTTAACGCTGCCAATGACAAGTAAATTTCTACGTTTGCGTACAGTTGTATATTAATGTAATTAGAAGAATCTGAAGGAAAGGATAATTTAACAATTAAAATTAAATAAAGCAATACAAATGGTGAGAAACGATTGGTTTAATGAATCTTTTGTTTATTTAAGAGATGCCGATTTTCAGGCACGTCGTTATGATTCTAGGACAACGACTTTTTCACCCGAGGGCCGTCTTTATCAAGTGGAATATGCTATGGAAGCTATTTCACATGCAGGCACTTGTTTGGGTATACTAGCAGAAGATGGAATATTATTAGCCGCAGAATGTCGTAATACAAACAAATTGTTGGACGGAAGTATATTTTCTGAAAAGATTTACAAACTAAATGATAATATGGTATGTTCGGTGGCTGGTATAACATCGGATGCTAATGTGTTGACTAATGAACTGCGCATCATTGCTCAACGTTATCAATTCAGTTATGGCGAATCAATGCCTTGTGAACAGTTAGTTTCGTATTTATGCGACATTAAGCAGGCGTATACTCAATATGGTGGTAAACGTCCTTTTGGCGTTTCTATTCTATATATGGGCTGGGATAAGCACTACGGTTACCAATTGTACCAATCGGATCCAAGCGGTAATTACGGAGGATGGAAAGCTACTTGCATTGGCAATAATTTTAGCGCAGCCATATCTATGCTTAAACAAGAGCTAAGTGAAAAAGATAAGATAACTTTAGAAAAGGCTAAAGATCTTGCCGTAAAGGTACTTAGCAAAACCTTGGATACCACTAAGTTAACCTCAGAAAAAATTGAAATGGCCACGTTGCAACGTAGCAGCGATAAAACAAAAATTAATATTTTGACCAAATCTGATGTGGATCAATTGATCGAAAAATATACTAAACAAGAAGCTGCTGCAGAAGCAGCCAAAAAGGAGAAACAAGCAGCCCAAAAGCCTTAAATTATCCAACTTTTTTTACTTTCTACTAGAATTCTAACATTATTTCTATAATAAATGGTTGAAAATGTGTAATTTACAAAAAAATGTTAGTCTTTAAATCGGACAGCGCAAATCATAATAAATAACTAAATATTTCTAATAAAAGAATTTAAACAATACATATATATCATATATGTATATATGTATATATGGAATACCAATTCCCGTTTACTGTAAATCCTAAATATGTAAAAATAATTCACATTTTATGGCTATACCATGAAAAATATTGTTAAATCTGTCCGGTGGCAACACTGCCTATCAAGACGAATATGAGAGACAAGCAAATCGGTGAAAATCCCTGAATTCCGTCGTGCTGCGCTACTAAAGCGCGTAAAAATCTATAAAGTTGTACAAATTCGTAAAACTTTTGCAAAATAAATATAATTAGGAGTTTTTGGAATTGAAAATCTACGTAATTGACATAAAATTGATATAAAATCGTGCAAATTGAGAGTGCATAAAATTTTTAGCATTTTGCCGCGACGTCGGCTGCATGCACGACGAGAAATTCAATTCGTATTTTGGTTGCTGCTGGTCTTTTATTCGAGTGTGTTGTGTTTGTGTGCTACAGGAGGTGGCAAGAATAAAGTAGATAGTTTTTATAGCTTGTACATATATATGTATATTTCTAAAGATCCGAATTTATGTAATTAAGAAAAAAAATTAATAAAATACATACGTACAAATGGAGCTAAATGAATAAATGAGTCAAAAGTGGTAAAACAAAAAGAATCGCGAAAAGGCTGCACATAAAATGAGTATCATTCCGTTCGCTTATGAGCTAATGTTCGTATGTGTGTATGTGTGTGTTTGCATGCATGAATGTGTATGTGCGCTCGAGAAACAAGCGAAAATTGTTAATTGGTAGAAATTTTCTAAATTATAGAATTGTGCAGATCTGGGAAACAAGGTATACAAGGAAAATCGAAATACAAAAAAAAGGATAAAACGAGAAGAAAATTAAGAAAACCTTAAGAAACGAGAAGAGTGTAAAACGAGAAACGGCGTTAACTTTAAAAGTGGCAGAACTAACCTCAATTACGGTTACAGTGCTGCAAAGATTGCGCGAAATCTATACGCTCAGTCTGCAGTAACTGCGAATATCGTAGCAGAGCTGTTGTCATAAAAATAAAAAATAATAAAATTAAAAATAAATAAAAAGGAAATCACCCAATAAAAAAAAATGTTGATGTGAAAACGAGCAAAGAGAAAATAAAATAACAAGCAAGCAAGAAATAAGCCTTCTTTGAGAATGTATGAGGGTTTGCATACACACGTGTGTGTGCTGTATGTGTGCGTAAGTATGCAATAGGCATTAAAAACGAAAAAGCAAGAGAAGAACATAAATACAAATAAATAATAAAACAGCTAATGAAATATATTCATACATATATGTATAAAGGAAATTAAAATTCATAACGAATTTGAACCAAATGTGGAGAAAAAAGCAGAAGCAGAAGAAATCAACCAACCAACAAAATGGATACATCAACAAAAAGCACACAATTGGATTTTAAAATACTGGTAATTAGAAGATACACATTATACTCTAACAATCACAATACAAATGTAAAAAGCAAACAACAACTAAACTAACTAACTAGCGGACGACTGGACGAACAAACATATTTTTATTTGAGTATTTAATTAAGCATAATTAAGGAAGTAATCGCCGTGAAATATATAAATAGAGAGAAAAAGAGAGAGAGGCACTCAGTCAATATATTATTTTCTTGGTTTTTAATGTCGCATTTAAATTGGTTTATATAAAAGTCTATGTTAGTTTATGTTATTCATTCTTACACAGTTCTTCTTATAATGTGGATGCTCTCTTGTTAGCCTTTTTTTTTTATTATTTTTTGTTATTGCTGAATCTCTTGTTGATATGCTCTTGTATGTCGTTTATTTTGATTTGTGTGTTTGTGCTTGTGTGAGTCTGTATAAATAGTGTAGTACAGTTAAGGTAATTTCTAAGATAAATAAAATTAGGGATGTCTCTAGTTATTTGCTTTCTTTAATGAGTAATGATTGTAGTTTTGTTCAAATTTTCTAAAGTTTGTGCAATTAATCCTATAAAAAAAAATACAAAAATACTATTATCAAAGAGGACATCTCTTAGCTGCTTTTAATTTTGCCGCAATTGTAAGCTGCATATGATTATGATCTCTTTATCCACACTTTTTTTTCACTCAAGACAAAATGTATCCCTACGTCAAAGTCATGATAGTTATTGCGAAATGGTTAAACTAATATAAAGAAAAGCAAAACTTATTTATAACGTATTCACGACGCAATTGCAACAAGTTCCTAAAAATAAAAAAATAAAAACTATGCGCCAATGATAGTAATTCTAAAATTCTCAATACTCTTTAAAGGCATACAATGCTTCGCAAAAGTGAAGTTTTATTTATGAAATTAAAATTCTGCGTAAACGTACAAAAGAACATTGCTCAGTGAAGTGAGCAGTCTGTTCTTTACATAAAAAGCATTCCATTCCATCATTCCGTTTAACATTTCAAAACCGTGTTCTCTAAACCACATGCACCTTAAGCGCGCAATTGTCAATAGGCGATTTTTGTTGCTTAAATGGAAATACGAAGGGACGTATAAACTTTACAATATTGCGCTAAGACTTTGCACAGGAAAGAATTTACCGTTTATTTCCAATCCGCTGAAGCAAAAAACCCCTCCGTTTGTGAATTATTGGGTTAAAATAACAAAATTTTTACATATCCGATATATGGCATAAACAACGCAAGTAATAGGCTTAAAAACGAAGTAATTGGAAACGATTATTAAAATGTAAAAGCATATATTGGAGGTTACCCAAATTTATTGATTAATCGCTGCTGTTAAGGAAATGCGATGGATGAGCGATGCATTTTCGAATAAATTTGCAAAGTCAGTTTAAAGCAACTGTGCAACATCCTACGTACGCAGCCGGCAAAAGAAAATTGAATTGTTGAAAATGAAATTTGCTGCAAAAGCATTACAGGTGTGCACACATATACTGTCCATACGTACATATATTTGTAAACAAATGTATTTATTAACCGCACTTCTTATCACACTCTTTTGCTTTGGCGGCGCAAGTAAAATAAAGATATATGTCTACATGTGGTAAGTTGTTCTTCACCAAAAATCTATCCTGGTACAACAATGTAAATATTACTTAAACACATATGGTTGTTAATTAGGATACAAATCCTAATTAGGATCTAATCACATGCGATCTATGATTTCTAATAAGTGTGAATATTAAAAAAGAATGTAAGGTAATCGCACGACGTCCATTGTTTTTACTTTAAATTCACCTTACTTTATGCAGAAATTATATAAATTGCTTTAATCAGTCAGTACTTTGATTTAGGCAGAAATTTAAATGAACTTCCTTCCACTTTTTTATTGTTTTCGTTTTTTTTTTTCAAGTTTGTTTTTGTTGTTTTATTGTTAAACTAACCCCCAACAGTCCAAATATAAAATAAAATATATGCAAAGTATTTTAAATCCATTTTTACATACACAATTTCCATTCTTCCTCATTCATAATGGTGTGCTTTTGCGCCCGGCAAGCTAAGTTATTCCTTAAATCCAAATCAACCTAACCAAAACGCAACTCGCTCTTACTCGGAAAAATTTCAACATTGCCGCACCCTCTCACTGCTGCATTTGTGGAACTGTAGACAAGCGAATACACACGTACACATACATATACATATTAACGCTTATATAGATTTGTGTACCCAAACACATTTATATGAAAGTGTACACTTCGCTATATACATATATCTTATTTTACTTCCGCTGCTAGGTTAACAGCCCCAACCCAGTCTTCGTCTTCACAACATACATGTAGATAGGTACGTACGTGCCGTGTGGGGACTAAAATTCTCACATCAGTCTTTCTCTAAAACTCATTCACATTTACTCTCACACTCATCTCGTAGCTTCCTATTTCTATTAAACCCATGATGTGTAGAGCTAACCAAGCAACCAACCAACCAACCAACCAACCAGCCTGTTATCCATCCATCCATACCCTATCTTTGTTTTTCTCATTCTCTATGGGAAACGGGTGGTGCACTAAGTCCATGTGTATATTTTCTATTTGTCGTTAACGTTATTGCTGTTGTTGTATTTTACGTTTTATTGTTTTTATTTTCTCTAATACATGCAATATATTATATATATATATAAGTACATATAAGTGTATATATACATATATATATATATATACGTAAATGTGTTTGCCGTTGCTTTTGTTGTTCTAAGTTTGTTGTTATTTTGAAAAAATATTTATTTTTATTAGTTTAAAACACACAAATACAAGAATATTATAAAGTAGTTATACACCCATAGACCTATAAAATACATAAGTATTATGCATAACCATCTATTCTCATCTACATATTTATACAAACGCGTGTTCGCATACATATATTTATATATATTTTCTAAATAAGTTTGCACCCAACCGTACGTATTTATATATACATACACATACAAATATATATATATATATATATATATATGTATATATTAAATATATATGTATATATATTAAATATTAGACAAGAATTCACAGAGTTGCCAAGTAGTTTAGCAATAAACGCATACTTAACCGAAGAACCACTAACTAACTCTATTTCGAATTATTTAAAGTTTTCTCTCTAATATTTACTTATGAATGTATGTATGTAAATATTTTAGAATATTTAAAACAGTTTTTGTATATTTTTGTATATTTTTGATCAGAGTTCGTTCACAGTTGTAATTGCTCTATATAGAGCAGTTGTAGTAAACAGATGATTGCATTGCGATTAGTTAGTAAATACCTTATAAAAGTTGAGAATTTCAAAGAATTTGAAAGATTTTGTTTTTCCATCACCGAGCTGATATCTTAGATATTTAAGAGATAGTTTAATCATATTCACGTCTATCTAATTCAATTGATTTTTTTTTTGTGTCGAATGAATGATCAGAGCGAGAGAAGGAAAAAGAGAAATTAAATCATTAAAATCACATGTTTGTACCTTCTTTACTGCTAATTTCAATCTTTAACAAAATTTATTTAAAAAACAAAGGGAAGTTCTTTGCCAACCAAATAAAAGGTAATGTTTTTACATCTCTCTTTTCCTTTCTTTTTTTTGTTTTCTTAGTATGCTGTCTTAATTAATTTCTTGTTTTTATGTTTTACAATTTTTTTATTGAGTTTATGATGAAAGATTCCTATTAAATTTTTATTGGCCAATTAAACAATTTCATGTGTTTCTTTCGAATTGTTCTTTTTCGAATAGATTTTTTTTTTTAAATAAATAAATAAAAGTGCTTTAATGGTTTGTTTTTTTCCAGCGTGAAGAAAAAAAATAAAAAAGAAGCAAATGGTTGTTATTAGCCTCTATAAACTATGTAAATAAATGTAAATTTATATGCTCTTACATATTTACAGTAGTGGTTAGAATATTAGTATGCACAGCATTTTGTCTTCTTTTAGAATCTTTTAGAAAATTTTAATAAAAATATTGTTCGCCGGGATCACCCAATATTTACATTGGAAGTTTTAAAGCAGCGCGAAATTTTGTTTTTTTATCAGGGTCTATAGGTTTGGCAGGGGTCAGCTATTTCATTTACTAGGAATCCAGAATTACGAAAAAAGCAAATCAAACGTAAGGAGTTTTCAAGAGAGAAAAACTGTAGGTATGAACGGTGTGCTTATCGCACTCTATACTGCATTCGGATGAAGAACTCGATAGAAACTCTCCAATCTCTGCAGTTCATTTTCACTTTCAAAACAAGATATTATTTCATTAAATAACTGAAGGTAACGGAAAGAAAATTAACTAATTGAAAATCAATAATCAATGCTTAGGAGCGTTATGATAAAAGCAATTACGTCAATCGCAAACAAAAAACGTCTTCATTTGTCTTATAATATACGAAAGTGAACCCAAGTAATAAATTATAATCCTCTATAAATTCTACATCGGTTTTTGAAATTTTTTATCCGACTTCTGCACAGAGAGCGAAAAAACGAACACTATTGGTCATAATTGCTTTTATTCACAGAGCATAAAGTTGGCAAACTGCATTCGAACTGGGAATTTTTTATAGAGCGCGACACAAACTTTACTATTATCGGTAAGTGTGAGATCCTTAACTAATCCATCGATAAGTAAAAAAATGGATCCTTATATTATTTCCTTGCAAGCAACTTTGCTTACAAGGTTCAAAAATTAAAGGTATTATCCTTAAGAAATAACAAATAAAAAAGAAGTATGACGCATTGACGATTTGTTTTTCTAAAGTTTACTTTTTTGGTTTCGGAACTGCAAATCTAAATTTATTTTTGCGAAATTTCATTGAATTTATTTTCGTTGATTCTTTAAGCAAATGTCTGCTCGCAACGCAACTAAAAGTACTTTTTTTGTTGAGGATGCCAGCAACACCCTGTTCGGGCGTTTTTCTTATTGGTTTGAAGAAGAAAAAAACCTTTAAAAATCAATTTTGGCGGGTATATTCTCTTT